GATAAAAAGTATAACAATCACCTACGTGTAATGGTACACCACAAGTTTTGCAAATATATCGGGTTTCGTTCCGTTTTCCTTTCGAAGAATTTGCTCATCGTTGAAATTTTTTTTACAACTAAGAACGAAACTTGGCCGGTCTTATAAGCGAGACACAACTTGAGGTATGCAGACTAAATAATTACACTACAAGATTTCGCTGTGAAAACAATAAAGATGCGGAAAAAAGCTTATCACGAGTTTACTCGTGACCGGTCACCAACGCTTGGCCACGAAAACACGAGTTAACTCGTGACCGGTCAGCAATGTGTTAACAATTATGCAAAAAACTTTTTTTAATAGCCTTCCACTAAAGTTTGATAATTTCACATTAATGTCACGCCTAATAACAGTTATTGTACACCAATACCTCACTTTGCGTCGTGGTTACGTTCCAAAAAAACACGACGCAAATTGAAACGACGCAAAGTGAATTAAAATTTTCTATAGCAAACCATGTAAAGATAGGTTCCAGGGTTACGAAAATACTACTTTTTAAAAAGAAAATTGAACAAAGTACATACATTACAACACACTACGTAATTGAAACTGAACTCTAAAATTAGCAAAACAAAGTGAAAATAAAACTGTATTAAAATTGCGTTGATTTTTAGTTAGAAAGGGAATCCCCGTGTTTTGATGGCATGGCGCAATTAGAAACAAAAGTGTTGCCATCTTTTAGAAAAAAAAGAAAATTTCAAAAAAAAAATTAAAGACTCGAACCGAAAACAACGCAACCTCGAAAATCTAACGACGCACAGTGAAAATTAGTACTAATTAAGCAGCGACGCAACTTCGAAAAAACGCAAAACGAAACGACGCAAAGCGAGGTATTGGTGTATTCAAAGGCTCATACAAGCTTAATAGTAATGTAATTCGCGAACTACGCGATGTAATCGAAAAATGATATAATCAGACCATCCCTTAATCGTACCGAGTCTGATTGGTACGTCGATAAACCTGACGTTGTATCCGACTGGACTTGCACACGTTAAAAAGACGATCGTTAGTAAAAATTCGGTAAGAGCGGGTCTGTATTAACGAAAACAATTTTCTCATAGTTTTCTTTTACAATTAGACAGAAGCGAGTTAGACGGCTGAATTTGAAACTCTCGAATGGCCTGATACGAATAGACTAATATATATTTTTTCTATTTCTTTACACGACACCAGTGATCAAAATCTGATCCACGTATTCATTTCTTCCATCGATCTAAATGCATGTTCAATTACTATAGTCAACGAGAGATATAGTCTTTAGAATGAATCAGGATGCACGTTTTTTATACAAATCTAAAATCACGCATCCTACACGTCGACTCTTTTTTAGACAAATTACGAGACAAATAATTTTCATCAAATTCATCGTTAGAATCAGGGATGCAAGCAATTAGCGATTAAATCTTTAATTCAGTAGAACGTAGATAAATAATTAACGTATACTTAAAATCCGTAGTCTATTAATTAAAAAATATTTCGATCTTCGATTAAAATTTAATCGTTCATTAAAATCGTGCAAATTAAAGAAACTGCAACCCTGGTTAGAATACTAACCGCTTACAAATTAGAATTAGCGATGCATCGTTTTTTCTACTTATTTTATTTCTCGACGAGTGAAAATTAGATACAGCAAAATTATCCTGCAAGATATTCCCTTCCATAATGAAACGAATCTGCATGAGATTTACGGCACCCGACTCTATTTACAATTAGATTGCACCACCTAGACCGCACCTTGTCCCATCTCACCGCTCGACAAATCAGACGACTCTCGTTCAACTGTTATAAAAAAAAACAATTGCAATCGCGAATGTAATTAATCGCATATTTTAAAAAAAATGCGAAGATATCTTCGCATAGCATTGAGCAATGGTCGTCTACAGTAGAATATCGACGAACGTTATGGCAATGTTATATTAATGAAACGTATACACGTTCTCTGTAGGTCTGGTGCTCAGCGACATCATCGAAAAGTACTTCGTATCACCGACGTTGCTTCGCGTGGTAAGGGTGGCAAAAGTCGGTCGTGTACTTCGACTCGTGAAAGGTGCCAAGGGTATCCGAACGCTCCTGTTTGCCCTGGCGATGTCGTTACCGGCCCTGTTCAACATTTGCCTGTTACTGTTTTTGGTGATGTTCATCTTCGCGATATTCGGCATGTCGTTCTTTATGCACGTGAAAGACAAAAGCGGACTGGACGACGTGTACAATTTCAAGACGTTTGGCCAGTCGATGATACTGCTGTTTCAGGTGAATACTCAGACTGTCTGGTCTCTACCGATCGGACGTGATTGTTTTAAGGATGTATTGGCTATACAGACAATCCGAAAAGTTTATGTACCTTAGTAAAACGCATTTCCTATAATTAAAAAGAAATCAGACGTCGGAAGAACAATGCTAATAATAAATAGCTACGTGCTAAAAAGTATAGAAGGAAATATCTAATTAAGTATTGACACTGACGAAAAATTTTTTTTTCAAAATTGCGAAAAATGCTTCAAATAAAAGTTGTTTTCCTTCTAACTT